TAACAAAATGCGAGGAAAAGCGATGTGGAACATGCGATGTTTTAATCACAGGAAAGTCTGTTACATTAAAGAGCGGAAAACCCTGGAAAGTCAATTCAACGATGAACTGCAAAGCGAGATATGTCATTTACGTGATCATTTGCTCAAAATGCGACAGCTTCTACGTCGGCCAGACAGAAAACTTACGAAAAAGAGTGACATTGCACAAGGAACAAATTCGACACGAAGAGTATAGACATCTAAAAGTAAGCGAACACTTAAATATATGTAACAACGGAATTTTCAAAATAATGCCTATATATCAATGCATTAACACGGACAGACTTTTTAGGGAGATGAAAGAAAAAGAACTTATCAATATACTAAATCCGGATCTGAACGCTAATTAAAAAACCATTAAGTTTATGCTTACATTTAGATCAATAGAATGTTTTTAACGGGTGACTTCACACCATGTAAATATATGCATTCCTAACATAGTTATTATAATATGATATCATAGAACGTAGTTAATAGATAAACTAAATTCCACTCATTGTAAATATGCACCTGAGGAGCTAACATTAAAGCGAAAACGTTTGTGCAAAATTTGAGTGGCTTTTATTCTATTTTACGTTATAAATGTCTCTTTTGGTTGCACATTGAAACCTTTTCTATATACAACACTTGTATCTTGTTATCAGCAACATTTCACTATATATATATATATATATATATATATATATATATATATATATATATATATATATATATATATATATATATATATATATATATATATATTTATATATGGCACATATATTGGAAACTTTTGGCTCTATGACAGCCTAGAGATACACTACAGGCTGTATGCTTAATAATAATGAAAAATTCCGTCTTATGGTATAGGAATTGTGAGTCGTATCGGTACCAGGGAACAGCCTGGGTACGGGTTTGCAATCTTATGGCAACAATCGTTCATTGCTTCTTGATGGCAATGCATTTAATTTAAGGGAATTTAAAAAGAATCATGAGGAAATTATCTTTACCTTTATTTATTTGGAGAGTACTACTACTAGCATTTATTGTAGACAGAAGAGGTTAGCCCAACGGCCCAACCTCACAATCAAATGATTCCCTTTTTTGTATCTGCCCTTGCGCAGATGTGATACTGTCGGCTCGTTTGTTAGTAGATGCTATCATGGTTTAGTTACTTCGTAAACCATTGACTCATCTACTACTCATTGGTGTGTGTGTAAACAGGACCGCTTTGAAATCTCGTGTAATTCCGTAGTGACGTAGACTGATGACGTAGTAGAATTTAAAAATTAAACGAGACTTACCTGGTAAGTTGAAGTTTGATTGGAATTCTACAAGTCATCAGTCAGGAACGGAGGAATTACATGCCCTGGATCAGGCAAGCTGATTCCCTCCCGTCCCAATTCCTCCGTTCCATGCTCCTGTTCACACTCACGATTACGTTGAATATTGCCTAGATAGCTCGCGCGCGCTCTCTCATGTAATTCCTCCGTTCCTGACTGATGACTTGTAGAATTCCAATCAAACTTCAACTTACCAGGTAAGTCTCGTTTAATTTTTAAATTTCCACTCAGGAAAATTTTCCGCGGAAAGAAAATTTTGTAAAATGTGATTGGCCGACACAAATTTTCCGTCGGAAAAAAATGCTGAAGTTGAAAATTTTCAACTTTTAAAATGACATTTTCGGAAAATTTTCTGTCCGTGGAAATTTTTCTTTGATGGAAATGGGTCTTAAAGGCCGGTGTAAATTGACTTTCCGAAGTGTAGAATTACACCAACAAGTGTTTCTTTTAAGAAAAAAACCCAAAAAAAACAAACACAAATAAAAACACCAAATAAAAAACACCAATATGAAAACACCAATAAAACACCAAAAAAATGTTTCACTTCCATTTGGACACCAAAGTAGTGTAAATCTGCAATTCAAGGAATAAAATTACACCAACACTTGTTTTTAGCACGTTTAATATACTAAAGCCTTTACCTGCTTGAATAAAATCAATTGACAAACAAATTGGGATTTAAAATAATTTAATGCTGAAAAATATTGCAAGATTATTTACATTACCAATCTAACAATATACAGTGGTAAATATCTCCACATGTTCATGGTCAGCCTATATCTTATCCTATACTAAGTTCTGACATCAAAGTTAATACTTTGGATGGAACGTTCTGGTTATCAAATACTTTAAGTATGTTTCTTTGAAGAAGTATGTAAGTGTTCACACACACCTTCGGGTATTGCACATTACATTAATGTAATACATACAGCTATTTCAATGGACAAAACCGCCAAAGTGGTCACCACTTTGGCGGTTTTGTGTTAATTGGAAACACGTGCTTGAGAAATCGGAAACTCGGACAAACATGGCGGAGCGTAATACAAATGCTATTCAAGATACACAAATCTTTCGGCCATTTAATAGATAAATTTGCTCGCTTTCGTCACGAAACAATAGTCAAGATGGAAAATATATCACGAGAAGAGAAATTCAAAGCCACGAAGCTGCCGGAGCTCAAAGCATACTTACAAAATCGAGGAATTACTAATAACAGTTACAGTACCTCAAACCAGGACTTGTAGCTATTGCTTGTGCCGTCGAAGAAATGAGTCTTCCATTGCTTTTTCAAGTCAGTGAAGCCCAAGACCAGTTAAATCTAAGCCGTCGTTTGAGAGTTCACGATATTCAGCTGCCTGATCCTTTGTTTTAAACGATTGTTTAAAATCAATGTTTGTTTTAAATCAATGTTTTAATTAAACGATTTTACGCACTCTTGCCCCTTTGGGTTGTTTGATATATTTAATCATCTCATATATCACTCGTCAGAATATGACAAGCAAAGTCTAGCAGCTTATAAATACATTTTACACATCGTACGCATTTTATGTGCGTTTTATATGCTGGACGGAGATTAGGATTATTACTTATATTCTCCGTACTAGTTATTGCTGATACAGGGTCGGGATGTTCTTCAGTAGGACCATTTTGTCGGCCAACAAAATGAAGGCTACATATATAACTTTATTATATAAACATAAGTGTTATATAGAGTTTTTGGCCACTGAGAGAAATCGTATTTAAACACACGTAAAAAATACGATATTTTTACGTGTGAAAATATCATTTGTTGTAAAACGCATTGCCACGGACGTTTTATTGTTTTTCACTGAATTTTGTTTATATAATAAACAGAAAAATAACATGGGTGCTTGGAAATACCAGATTTATTTCTCGTGTTGAACATGATATCTCACTCGTTCGCTGCGCTCACTTGTGAGATATCATGTTCAACACTCGAAATAAATCTGGTATTTCCGCGTACCCATGTATTATTCTCTATATCCTTCGTACATACAAATTTATCGCTTCTGTGGCATGCACGTATCCATGCAGCGCTCTCGTTTTGCGCTATGGTATCTAGCCCCAGGAAAATGTAAAAAAAGATATCAGCTCCATTACTGTTTCGTTTTAACCGATCAGGATACCGTGAATCGCTTTTACAAGTACCACAAGCGCACTTTTTAGTCGTAACCATTTTATATTGTTCTATATAATATATGCTCCGCCATGTTTGATATCTTTTTATACATTTTTCTGGGGCTAGTAGGCCGTAGGATGAGCATCCAAAAGATGCTTAGAAAACGGATTCCGTTGCACCCCTCGTGTAACTACGTAATTTTCACATGAATAAATAGATAAAAACTTACTTTATCAGAATCCGTTGCTCCCCAAGCGAAACAGGTGCACATTTGGGAGAAAAATCCCTCCAAAGTTTGATATTTTCGCGCTTCGAAATATTCGAACCGCCATTGTTTTGATAGCAAATACGCATGCGCAACTCACCCAACCTCGCACTGCGCACGCGCATAACCAACGCACATGCTTCGAAGTGGAAACACGCTCAGTTATGCAAATAAACATGGCTGAAGATATTTATAAAACTCGAATATCCTCATGTTTTATGCATTTTGAGCGTTACGGAGCAACTTTGCAAAGTTACACGCCAAAGGCTTAAGAAATTTCTTGAGTGTAGGTCAAAATGGGCCAAACTTAAATGTCAACAAGCTGATATAGCTAAGAAATCGGTACGAGAACATCGATGACGGATCTGTCAATTCATACATGGAGAAGAACCCTGTCACACCATTAACTTTAATAGAATGGAACCATCATATGAAATGCTGGAAGAGATTTTGTGATGAAGAGAAGATCTGTAGATATTAAACAGAGAAAAGGAGAAGGAACTAGCTGTAAAACTGTAACTTCTACCGAAAAATCACACGTGGAAGTGGAGGCAATTGGAGGCAATAGAACCAAGGCGAAAAATTACACGTCAATCAGTCGCAGAAGCTATAAATATAAAGGCCCTGCCTAAAAGAAACGCGCATGTACTCCCAGAGATATGTATTATTTGTGGAAGAGACTCCTCGTGGTTCTCACTAGACAAGGTATGGTCATTTTGATAGGTATAATACTAGCGCAATGTCCACAACATTCTCAGGGTTGGTTTTAAAATATATTGAATTGTGATCAATTAAGTTTACTTAGGGTAAAGTAGTTTCTATGCTACAAACATCCAACCTTGTTATTAGTAGATATTTAGTTTAATAATTTATTTTGTTTCACACCAGGCAACTAAGAAGAGAAGAAGAACCCCACTCATGTTGGCAGAAACAATTGATGCTGGTCTTCTACGTACAGCTACCGAGAAAAAGAATGATCAATGGATACTCGTATAAATCCAGGGGAAAGACTGTGTAGCTCTGGAAATCTGCTATCACAAAGTTTGCTACTGCAATTATACAATATTTCTCACCAGAGAGATGAAGAAGCAACAAGAGCATCAATGTACGAAAAGTCTTATGATGTATTCTGTAAAAAAAGTAATTGAGATGGAGGTCATCGGAAATAAGCAAATAAAGTATATGAAAGAATCAAGATTTGCTGGAGAAATTTGTTATCATTCCTAAGGACACTGAGAATGTGGATGCATCTAAATATAGAGCTTTTAAACTCAAGCAATGACTGATGAAAAGTTATCCCCAACGTGTGTTCTGTGTATCGAAAATGAGAAATGTTAGTGAGATTGTATTTGTGGAAAATTTGGATTCTTCTGAATTGGTTGAGGAAGTTAGCGAGACAGCCCGGTAAGTGGGATGAATTTCTCTTGTGTTTATATGAGATACTTTCATCCCGCTTGCCGGGACGATTTTGTTACATTGTATTGTTTTGACAGTTGTTAAAAATAGATTTCGGCGGTATCTTTGAACTTTCATCCCGGAAACCGGAATAGCCCTCTTGTAAATGTTTATATGGAGAAATTTCCATCCCGGTAAGCGAGATCTAGCCTCTTTCAAACAAGATCTCTGCAACTGGGCCAACTCGCTTGTCCATATAAACGCACAATAACTTTTACTATAAAAATAACTACACAGCGAGATATCTCGCTTACTAGGCTGTCTCGCTTATCAGGCCGGCTTCCATATAAACAGGCCCTAAGTCTGAAAATAATGATGAGGACTTTGATGAAGAGAGCTGTACCATTGATTATAAAGATGTGAATTCCAACACAAAAACTGAGGGAAATTCTGAAGTCAATGAGTTACAAATTCTATACAATGCTGCATTGATTCTTCACCAAAAGGTGCAAGAAATACCAAAACTGAATCTTCCTTAGCCACCATTGGCATCTGATTTTACAAGGGATAATATTTCAAATGAGGTCAGGACTAGACTAGATTTCAAGTCCACACAATTTGATTATGTCCGAGGCGAAGCAGAGGACTGGATCAAAATGTGAGGTCTTGAAATCTAGTCCAGTCCGAATTGGAGGATTTGAAATGACATCCATATGAATAAATCACTACTTAGTTAATTTTGATCCAGTTCAAGGACTGAATTAATTTTAATCCAGTCCTAGGACACTACAGGATCAATATACTTCATAAGGGATCTAGTATTATCATGTGAGCAAAATAAAGCAATATGGTTGGCTAATTTGCTCATGAATTATTAATGATTTGAGGTGAACAATGGTGGTAATGCACATAGATATTATCAGTGGAGTAGATCAGTATTATTTACTTATTCGATATTCTCAATCGAATCCACAGTATTTATGTGATCAACACATATATCCCTCTCATGGACAGGGTAACAGTATGGTCATGTCTGGGAAGCTAAAACGCACCCTGGTGGAGGAGCTAAAATGCACAGCAGCAAATCTATAAGAAAAAGTCAACTAGTGTGGACAAGAAAAACCATAATGAATTGTTCGTTGTTATCCTAGATAGTGGCTAAATACCAACTTATGTCACAATATAAATAATAATATATGTAATAGTTCAAATACGAGAAGTAGAACTTTACCAGACAAAAGCCACCTTGGCCAGGATCTAATAAGTGGGATTTTATTGCTCTGATGAAAATCTGGGTTCAAAGATGAAAACATTTCTTTCAATTATAGATAGCTATAATGAAATTATGGATTTTATATTTGCTCCCAATTTATCTTTTTTTATGATGAATTTCGAGTTTATATAAATATCCCTTAAAGCCCGGTATGAACTAGGAAACACTGTTTGTCATATTATTTGTTCTTCCAATCTTTTGGTATGTCATATTGTCTTATCAGCGTCGGCAAACGGATAAAGAATGTTTCATAAAATGCAATAAAAGCCAATTAAAAATCACGAATATTTCCGCGACATTGTTTCTTACGTTTGGTCAAGGCTTTAAGTTTAGCGAAATATTTCATTTGTTCCTTGATCGTGTGAATTGTATGTATATATATTTTTTATTTCTTCGTCCTAGCTGTTTTATACAGGTGGGTTTTTTACCTCACACAAATTTGTATTGAATTAGGATGTTATTACAAAGTAGAATTAAACGTTAAAACGGTATTTTGAAACAATAACCAATGAATTGAAATGATTTAGCATAAGAGCAAGCAAAATATACAATGTGTTTTTTAACAATATTTAATGTGGGTGTATTTATATACAAGGTTTATCAGTATTCCGTGATTTTATTTTGTTGTTTTTGCGGAGGAAATCGGGGAAACCCCCCAGTGAGAATCTATTTTTATATTCTGCGCGTGCGCAGTGCGAGTTTGGCTGAGTTGCGCATGCGTATTTGCTACCAAAATAATGGCGGTTCGAATATTTCGAAGCGCGAAAATATCAAACTTTGGAGGGATTTTTCTCCCAATTGTGCACCTGTTTCGCTTGGGGAGCAACGGATTCTGATAAAGTAAGTTTTTATCTATTTATTCATGTGAAAAT